CTCCTCCCTCCTTCCCCACTCCCTCCGTCTTCCATCCATCTTTCCCAGCCAGAGAGAAAAGTCAAAGCCTGAGAATCCCCCGAAGAAGCCGCCGGCTTCCCTAACACAAACCATGCAGCGACCCCCTCCCCCATGCGCACCCCGGCCCAGAGCAGAAAGGTGGGCGTTTTCAGCCCCAAACACACATGTGCGGATCTGCTAGGTCTCTGGGGGGCCTTTGACATACAGGGGAGAGCGGGGGGAAGCTGGAGGGGATGAAAGGGACCCCCGAAGCTAAGGAGCCAAGCTTCCTTCCCCAGCCTCAGCTGGGGATACAACACCGCGAAGATGGAGCCTGGCATTTCTTGTCTTGGGTCTGCAGGAAGATCAAAGGTCTTTAAGAAAAAGAGATCCCCCCCTCCCTTCTCTTCTCCCCAACTCCCTGCCACCGCCACCTTCGCCAGGAATTTGCGAGCCCTTCCCCTGGCAGGACGCAAAGATATACAAAAGCTCAGGGGCTCGGCTGTATTCAAATAATCAAGCCGTCAGTGAGGAGCGGGGATGTGGTTTTATCTGCATCTTCCTTCTCTCTCTCGCTCCCTCTCTCTCTCTCTTTTTAATGTATTATTTCGAGGGTAAAGTTGAATAGGTCAATGCAGGGCAAGCAGCCGCCCTGTCGCATTCTGGCTGAAGAGAACCAGATTGGGGGGTTGTATTTTTGATAAGGCTTGGAAATAAATGGCATGGCTTAGATCTGCTTTGCCCAGCCCCTCTTTCTCTTCTCCTTTCTCTCCTTACTTTCTTTCACGGTTGAGATTTCCCTGAAGCTTAAAAAAAAAACACCCCAAGAGTCCCGTCAGCAACTATCCCAACGCAGCGGCTGCAGCCCCTGGACTGACCGCTGCGGAGTCCCAGGGAAGCTGGAGGCGAAGTGGGACCAGCCAAACGTGATGCAAACTGTGTGCGAGCGAGAGCCTGTGTTTGTATCTGGAGGGGTGGAGGGTGAGAGCCTTCCCCTTCCAGCTCGGGGCACTCCAGCTTCACAGCAACTTGAAAAGAAACGGCGAAGCAACTGCTGCAAAAACAACCCGCCCCGCTGCACCCTGTCACTAACAAGACATTCAAATAGACACGGGTATTATATGTATTATTTATATATCGTCTCCTTTTCATTATTTGATTGTCTGTAGATCGCTGCGGGGAAGGGGAGGGGGTGAACAGCGTGTCCCACGCATACTGTAAATGCCAGGATAAACCAACCCGCATCTCTGGCCTTGCTATGAACAGGAGTGCTATTTAAGGTGCGAAAATCATCAATTCAAATTGTCAGAGGTGGGCAGCAGAAAATGAGGTTTCTTTTTCTCTGCAGCCTCCAAAAGAGCCTTCCTCAGTAGTGAAAAGTCCGAGCTAAATCATTTGGAGAGAAGTCGCCAGGCTTCATGCCCTGTGCTTAAGTATTAGCTTCTGCTCAAAATCCCCAGAATTACACGCGCCTTCAGGAATAGGCTCAGAAACGCGATTGGAGATTTGAAAACACCGACAGAAAAAAAAAAAAATTGCACCTGGAGACGAGTTTCCAGGAGACAGAGAAATTACAAACCCACTCCCCTTGGAAAGAAATGCGCGGCTGGAGGGATCTATTCGGAGCTGCACCCAACAGCGTGGGCTGGCATGCTCTGCTCCTAAACTCTGCTAATGGCAATAGAAACACTCACCTCTTGGGTTTCAAAGTAGCTGGCGAGAATCTGGAAGACGAGTTGAAAAAGACGCAAATAAATGGAAAGTATTTCCTTCTGCAGGTTGCAGGGGGAAAAAAAATACTGGAGGAAGGATCTCCAGTCCAGGCACTATAGGACTCTGTGGACAGCCAGGCGAAGGAGCCTTTCAGCTAGAAGCCGATTTGTGGTCTCAGACAAATTAAATATTACTGTTTATTACCAGCCATACTCCAATAAAATAAAGAGAGTTCAAGGCGATAGCTGCTATCTCACCAGCCCTTGCACCTATAAGACTCAGAGACGTCACCACACACGCAACTGGCCCATTCTCTCACGGTTGAC